GGGCCCGAGGATCTAAGCTCCCTGGAGACCGAGTGGAGCCCTGAGGACCGGAGCACCTACAAGCTTGTAAACAGCGTGTGTGTGCTCCCCAAACCCGATATGGTCCTCTGCTCCCGCCATATCTGCCCCTCCCACTGACCGTGCTGATCGTACCACCCTCTCTTAATCCCCCAACCACCTCCCCCACCCCTCCGACGCCACGTTCCTCGGACAGGCCCGGCCTTGGCCCCAGGGAGGCATCCCCCGTGCCCCCCCGGCCCTCCCCCTACCCCCTAAAAATTTATTACAACAACCCGCTAGGAAAGCTCTCAACTTCCTCCTCTTCCGATCTCCCTTTTCTACGCACCTCTGGGGGCTCCATACCCCGTCATTGAGGATGGCCCTCGAGGTTATACTGGGCCATACCTGCGCGAGGGAGGAATCGCGCAGGGCCAGCAGTTCCGCCCTGGAGTAGGCTCTAAACATGGACACAAGTCCCACAACAGAAAATACACGGGGGGGGAAACAAGTCCCTTTGATGGTCAAAACCACAGCCTCCACCCTCACCGGGTCCACCGGAGCAGTTCTTTCACCGGGCCAGATTCAGGGCCGGGTCCAGGCTGCCGGGCCGCATCCTCCCTCTCTCACCGGGCCTACTTTCCTTTAAAATTGTATACTCTTTATTCTAATTCCAGATGTTATAAATTGTGTTCAAAAGTTTCATTTCTGTTCAAAAACTCATTTCAAAGTTTAAATCTATACAAGCTGACCTATATACTATAATTGCAGTCTGGCATACTTTCACTTAATAATATTATATTATTATTTTTAAGCTTTAGCTGGAATCATGTAAGGTTCAAAGACTGCATATTCTTTTTGAAACAAAGTGTTGAATTGTCTTCCTGTGCCTTAGTTTGAAGATTTGTAGGTTCCATGAAGCCTTAAGAATCAGCTTTATAAAAAACAATCCAACTTATGATTATTGTCATGGATCGGGCTGAAAAGTAGAGAAACACTGTCAACCTTATATAACCTTACAATGGAAAGTTCCCCATCTCAACTGAATGGGCATGAAAATTCAGTTCAAACTAGTTTAAATCTCATTAGAATTAGATTCTTTCCACGAAACTGATCTTCAAGTACACACTGCCTATAGCTTTCAAATTAAGTTCTAGGGAGCCCAGTGGTTCCTTCTAAAAAAATCAATTGGAAAAGACCAACTTTGTTGGACAGCTTGCTCACTATTTCCAAGAATCCTATATGAAGTGCAACTTCTGGAAACCAAAAGATGTGTTTTAGCAACACTGAGAGCCAACAGATCTGATTATGGCCCAGCTGCACTCATGTGGCATGATTCTGTGATGATGATTCAATATATTGGCATATTTGTCAAGGTAGGAAATATTCCTTGAGAGAAGCAAAGGTGACGATCATGATACTATATTTTCAAGAAGACTCTACTGAAACATTACTATCTGATAGGCACTACAGCATTCTTCCTGATCATTCAAGCATGTAAACAAACTATTGACATCAGACTCTTCTTTCTCATGAAATCTTGTATGTCCAGTGAAGCAATTGGTTCCTTTCAACTGAGAAAATACATGCATCCATATATCATTAGCCGAATTAAAAAAGGAACCAAAGGAAAAGAATAACAGCAGCTACTTAAATTCTACAAAGTTGCTTACTTATACATTTTTGAATTAAAGTTTAAGATACCAACAAATATATAAACAATATTTTCCAGGAAAAAAGGACCTTGGGCCAGCTGAGGCACAAATAGTTGCCTATTAAAACCTATACAGAAGTATGACTTAATTATTCAGGCTATATGCCCACTAAAGAATAAGTACCAGCTAATTTTCTTCACAGCACACTAGTTTTCTATATGCAAGGATTTGAGCATCCATTCATATAAATCTCTCCATCAATCTTGAAGTTGTATACACCAGAAATCTAATTAACATCTAAGTCCTGCAGCATTAGTGTTGTCAGCTTAACAAACAATCAGCATCTTCAAATACATAGCATGTAGTAATGAATCGTGTAATTTGGATGTGACTCTGCAATTATTTAGTCCTATATCTATTTTGCATTTTTTTAAAAATAGGAAAGTAATATCACAGTACAAAGTTTGTAACTACATTTTTTCAAAGCACAGAGTCAAAATTCCTTCTCCATCTCCAAATGTTGGATTTTGAGAAAAGTGAGTTAAAAGATTTTTGACAAGTCTAGCAAACGGACTTAATGTGGCATTGCACCAAGAGGAATAAATAATTCATTCTTTAAGTGTCATAACAATTGTTAAAGATTTCTGACCAGCAAGTTCCAGCCGTCTAGATGAATTTTAACAAGTAAAGAAAGCTGAAATGTCAAAACAGAAAAGAATATAATACATATTTGAATAATTCCATATTCTGGAAGAATCAGTGTCTATTCTTCTTAGGCTAATGCTATAAACAGACTGTATAATGGCTTAGGGGAATTGGAAAAGTAGTCTATTTCAGAGAAAGAAAATTAACAACAGGCTTGTTCTTCCTGCTTCTTAATTATTAAGGATTTAATGTAAAGGCTGCCACCCAGACTACCTATGGTCTTCTTGATCATCAGGAGAAAAAAAATACTTGCAAATGCTGGAGACTTTGATACCATGAGATAATTTCAACAAAAGTCTTGCTTTGGCAGAATAGTTTGCTCCATTAAAACAAGAATTCTGCCACACTGAAAATGTTCTAACTGAATATTCCATTACCTTGGTTTAAGAAAAAACATGGAAAGTGCTGATCTTTTATCTTGCTGCTACCTGGAAAATAATGCTTCATCTATTAGCTAGAGGCAAGATGAAAATACAACTGCTTCTCACAGTACCTTGGCCACTGCATACATTCGTGTACTGGAGGCATCAGATAGTTCACTTCTGAGATCCACCTCAGCAGGCCAGTCTTTATTCATTGGCAAGCATGATGTGAAGCCATCAATGGATGGGTGGCACATTCTTAAAGCCTTCTGGAAGCTCTCTTCAAAGGTGCGTCCAATAGCCATAACCTGGAATAAAGAAAATGTTTACACTGTGATGCACAGAATGTACACTTCGATTTCAGATTTCTCAAGAAAAAAAACTCAAGTTGCCACCTTAAGAATAAATTAGGAGATGCAGCATGAGGCAGAGTGACTTCTAGGCAAAAACTCATGTGCTGAAGAAAGAATACAAAATTTTGGAGATAGAGTTTAACAGCTTTGACACTGCACCTAAAACCACCTAGGATATTAGGAATAGAAATAGCATACAAATGTCTGCTTTCCTTCTCCTAAGGGAAACACTTTCAGGAGTTTTTTTTCCTACAAGAACAGAGTTTCTTATTTCCTTTTTTCCATCTTTCCCTCTCCCCCCCCATGAATAAATTTGATGCAGGCTTTCTTGGGAAACTTTATTCTTAGTAAACTTTGCTTATCTTTTTGGACCTGAAGCATTAACCTCTAATTTCTGTTAATAGACTTGGTTGTATTTATTCAAACATGCTCTGCTAACCACCCACTGCCCTAATTAATTTACTGGAGAATTCAAACCAAGGTTACATTCAAGCATTTCACAATTTCCCTCCAAAGAGCAGGGGAGCAAAAGCCAGCTCAGGAAGGGCTTTTGAATGCTTTCAGATAGAAAACAAACACAACTTTGCTCCCTCCTCTATCCTGCTTCATTTCTTGGCTGTATCCAAGATCCAAACCATCATCATCATCATCATCATCATCATCATCATCATCATCATCATCATCATCACTTTATTAGTACCAATACTACAACAATAAAATATACCTTTTAATATTGAAATAAATCAATCTATCATAAACGCTAATGAGGAAATGCTTTTTCAAATCCTATGGTGAAACTATAGAAAGCCTGACAGAGCAAACTAAATTCAGTTTCTTACATTTGTTGAGAAGGACATTGTTAATATTTTTTTTCCTCAGTTTTTCTGATAAAATTCAGCCCTATTTTTAAAAATAGGGAAGGAAGGGAAAGGAACATTGCACTCCAAATGAAGTTCACCCATGCTTAGTTGATCCAGGATGACTGACACAGATAAGCATGAATTGTTTTTACATCTTCTAAGTTGCAAAGGAGGCTTATATTTTTTTTATTTAAAACATGAAACCAAAATTAATATATTAAAATTAAACACTGCAGTGCCATAATTATGATTGGAACCACGGCAGACTGATCTCGCCCCTTTCTGTTTTGTTTTGTTTATTAATTTCCCCTGATAGTGCACAAGGCAAATATTAGAAAGGAAGCAGAGGCAAAGGTACCACTTCCCTTAGGTCTTTGGTTCTCTCCTTTCTCAGAACAAGGAAGAAACTTTTAACCTTTCAGTAAATACTATGCACAACACAATGGGTTGGAGAGAGTTAACCAAAATCTGACAGATTTCTATGGTTAAATTCCTGGATTAGGGTCTTCATAAAACTCAAAATTCCCCCATCCAGGTAAATGAGTTGTGCAAATAGGCAATTGATTCATACTGTAATCCTTGTCATACTGTAATCCTCAACAGCCTAGCTAAATTCAAGAGTTAACAGCAGCCCACACACACAATAGTTGCATTAATAATGTACAGTAACTTCCACACAGCCATGTCACACAGCAGCTGACTTCACATAGTGGCTGGGTTCATACATCACTCTCGAATTTTTAAGCAAACTTTGTTAAATAAGCCATGGATTCATGNAATAAAACTAGCTAAAAACCATAGTTTGGAAGTCAAACTATGGCTTAATGCAATGTGTGAATTATGTCAGAATGTACTGCCACCAATATTATCACTCCAAGTAGAAGCAATACTAGGGTCATTAAAATTTAAATATATTGTCCTCCGTTCCTGTCTTCCATTTAGTCACAAGAAAAGCCAAAGACAGACAATGCTGGAAGAAAGTAATTATACTACACATTTTTTCAATGATAATATTTCATGAATAGACTGGGTTTTACTTGATCTAGCATAGAACTGAATGACAACACTTCAAAGTCTGAAAATGTTTTAGCTCTGAAATTTCCAAAAGAAAATTACATCACTTTTTCAGAGTCAGGAAAAGATAGGAAAGTATTCTTAACTGTGTAGCTAATAGCCCACTGATTATAAATGTGAAATTAATCCACAATGGAACTTCAATTATTGTTTCGGCCTTCACCCTTCTCCAAAGAAGAATGTACCTATGACCCAGATTAGAAGAAATCTGAACTATAGATACAACAAAATGTCACAAATATGGAAGCAAAATTTCAGTCATATTTCCATATACTATAATAGAATTTGGTAATACAATAAGAAAAAACAATCTCCAGCTCTGAATCCAGGAGAGTGAAACTTCCTAGATATATCCACTGTAAAGAAAATCACTTTATTTTAAAAGCTGCCAAAACAGAAAAAAACATATTTGGAAATAAAGGTTTCTCCCAGGTTCTGCACCTGATATAAATAGGTGTCAGAATTTTGTCCTCCAGGATTGGCAACCTGAGCTATGGAGCAATCTTGATGAATTCAGTGGACACTGTTTTTACACTTTTGCTTGAAATAGTATTTTGTACACTGTGAACTGTTTTGAACTCAAAGTAAAAGAAAGATAGAATATGACTGCTGACTAATGAAGGTCTGCCTCAATTAGGCATCTTGGCTCCTGAAAGCCATTGGTTCTGCCTCAGCACAGCAATGTTTGGAGGTGAGATTTATCTGCCTGGATCACCTGCTTCAGTTTGGTAATATGGACTGTATTCAGGGTCACAGTAGCCCCTATTACAGATTAAAGCAACCCAATTGTGCTCTGGCAATTGGAAACACAACATTTTACATCAAAGGGCTGTTTCAATGAGGCAAAGCACCCATTTATACGTTATTAACAAGTTTTTCATACACTGTTTTGTAAGACATATGTTCAGATATTATATTATTAAACTCAATAAGGCCTTCCATAACAGAGTTGTGTAAAATTTACTTTTTTCTATGAAGGTAGAAGGGAAAGAAGATTTTTTAAAAAATACTTAATGCTCTAAGAAAGCCTTGAATGTCAAAATAGCACAGCTAAAGAATATGTTTTAAAACCATTAAGAAAAAAGTCTGACAACAAGCAAATGTGTTATTAATTATTATATTTTGCAAAACTGTTGGATAATTAGTTAATTAACTGCATGATTTACCCATTATGTCACATTCCATTCTTCTTGAAACCTATAGATAAATGTGTCAATACTACTCTAGAGAGTCCTAAATTACAATTTTAAATGTCATGCTCTTTCTACTATCTTTAATATAATGTTTTATTAGAAGAAAAAATAGAAGTGGAAGTAAAAACAATTGCTGACAAGTGAAAATGTTGAATTTTGATATTCAGTTTAGTTATTATTATTCAAAGTATTCCTTCTCCATACAGAGTTGGAAGGGACACTGAAGTTCCTCTAATCCAACTCCCTGCTCAAGAAGGAGACCCTATATCATTCGAGACATGGCAACTATATAAAAAGAGAAAATATTAAGCATATTTCATACCACATATAGGTTTGCTAAAATCATCATAGCTTGCCAACAAATAGAAAGTTGTCCTCTCAAATACTTCCTAATATTAAAGGAAATTAACTAAAGATTTTTGTGACTATCATAACTTGAAAAACAATAACCAAGCTACAGCTCCAATAGCATGATAAGGTTTGGTCCAAGTTTTTTGTTTGCATATTTTAATAATTCTAAAATAGATACATCAATGTCTATGGCGGCAGGGAGCAAGGGATGAAACGTGTCATAATGTTGCATTGTGCTGTGATCCACAATACTTTTTTCATTATTTTAATGTCATTGTGGTTAGGAACAGATGCCTATGGATGGATGTGGAAGTAGAAGGAATAGTAGGGACAGCAAAGAACCTTATCTGTTTTGTTAAGAGCAAGTATGTTCAGAATAAACACTTGGTCTTTGGCTGAAAATGGGCAAAATCTAATCCTAAACAAGTGTCCATGACAGAATTATCCTTCCCATTTTTGATTTGCAAAATTCAGAAAAGAGATTCAATGAATATTCCCTGTAAGGATGGTACATCTCCCAAAATAAAATGTATTTTTCTTGTCATAATTTTTGGCTATAGAAATATAGAATGAATGATAATGTTCTCATTGAAAAATAAAGGCAGTAACAGGTAATTTAAAAAAAGAACAGAAAGAATCAAAGCCATTGCTTACTTCAAGAATGAAGTGCAGTGATGTGCAATTACACTTTTATTAAAAGGTACAGAAATTAAGAGGCATTTCTAAGGAAGGCTGAAATTCCCAACAATTTGGAAATAGTTCAAATAACACAAAATTCAAAAATTTATCAAAAGATCAACCATATTCTAAGTTATTTCATGAACCTATTACTCATCTATGAAAGCAACAAGGAACTCTGTTGTCCTCATTGTTAAATATTCATGTATTTGATGGACTGCTATTAAATAAAAATTACCATATGCACGAGCCCCTATTTATCTTTATGCTTTCATGTCACCTTTCTTATCTCAAAATGACTCACCACATTAATTTGTCATAAAATGAATTAATAGTCAACCACAATGTTCATAGTAAGAACTGTTTAAAATAATTCATTCCAAAATTAACAGAAAAATAACTGCAAAAGTAGATAGTGTCATTTCTAGCTCTTAAAAGCAAATAGATAACCTATGACAACTAGTCAGCAAAGGCACCCACTCTGGGAGGAAGAAAAAGGCAATGGATGTATATACAAGGAAGGACCATGCTCTGTATCATGTATGAAGCAATCAGTGATAATTTCGTCCTCAGACTAAACTGCTTGACTTTTCATTAACCAGCTTTTCCTATCATGAGCTTCAACAAACAAATAGGCTTTAACTGTTCCATTTTACCAGTGAATATGAGAACCTGGAATTTTAGAGATATTTGCACAAAGAGCGATGACATCCTTCCACTATTTCTGGCATAACTAATAAAGAGAATTTCTACCATATGAAGTTTAAGTCAGCTTTCCTCAAGTTGTCCTTGAGAGCACTATAAAATTATAATGGGTGGCATTCTAATGTTTTTCTTCCCTACTTTTTACATCACAAACTTTGACTTTGAAAGTAATTCTCTATTCCCAGGAACCCTGATAATTTTGTGAGAGAAATCAGGTAAGAAGTATCCTTGTTATCTCACAAAATTTATGTGGAAGATTCTGGAAGGAGAAAGCTATAATTATTTAAAGCATGGGCATATAACATAGATTATCTTCACATAGAAGATCTTCAGAGATTTCAGATTATAACTCTTACAAATCCCAGCCAGTTTGAACAATGGTTGCCGCCAGTGCTTTTTTTGTCATAGAACGCATCGGAACGGAGTTCAGGCACCTTTTTTTCGATGGATTTTCAAAGTTTTAAAAGTAACTTTTGAAAATTTGATGTTTGGTCCACATGGATTTGAATCACCCTGTTGAGTATAGCAGGTTGGCAGCAAAATCATTAAAACAGTGCATGTGGGCTGCTTGTGTGTCGAGTCCAATGCATGCGTACTTCATCTGCACTGATTGTGATGCTGCTGCTTGGCTTGCGGTATTGCTCGGCTTGTGATTGGTCATGTGGTTGCGCACTGAGTGTTTACTGCGGGTGGCAACCGTTATGTTTCATTACACAACTGACATGTGTGGGTGTGTGTACAGTGATTGACTACGTGCGAAAGGTAAATAATTTCTTTATTTTAAAAAATCGTTGGTAAACTGAAAATCTTTTTTTTAATTTTTAGTGTAAAATTTACTATGTTCTGGCACCTTTTTTCTTACAAAAAAGCACTGGTTGCCACCAATTTGACTGATGGTAATTATAGTCTAAAACATCTTTTGAGGGTGGTATTCCCTCATATAGCTTCCAACTCCCTAGCCATGGATCTAGAATGCCTCCAAAAAAATCATCAAATGGTAATCTAGACAAAGGGGAAATAATTCAATATGTGGATAGTCATACAATTGTATTTAAATACTTTTTTTTTTGCCTCACCCACTTGTTGGAATACACACACACATACATACACCATTTCCAAGCTAGGAGTTCACCAAGAGCAATCCTGAGCCTGAAACAGATTATTTATTGCTGGTAGAGAGAATTTATTGTGTGGTTATGAATGTAAAGTGCAATGGTTAATGGGCAGAACTATAAATCAAATAAGAGTTCTGATTCGTCTTACCTCTGCCATGAGTTACACAACTAGTAACCTTAGAGTAAGTCTATGTCTGAGAAACATTCTGAACTACCACATCCTTTTACCTCTCTCCATTTCCAACATCATCATCAACATTGCCAAATGATCTCAATAGTATTTTGAAAAGAATATTATTTCTTCAGAAAATGGGGGAAACCTTGAACTCACCTCACCCACACTCTTCATTGAGCTCCCAATCTTGTTGGATGCACCTGGAAAACGATCAAGGTCCCAGCGTGGTATCTTGGTTACTATATAATCCAAGCTTGGTTCAAAACAGGCAGTGGTCTTTCCAGATACTACATTCTCAATTTCTGGTAGTGGGATCCCAAGGGCTATTTTGGCAGCTATAAATGCCAAAGGATACCTGACATCAAGAACAAAAAAAATATTTTTACAGGTAATCATAGAATCATTGGATGGTTGGAAAGTATTCAGGTAATCCTCAACATATGACCATAATTGAGCCCAAAATGAGACAGCTAAGTGAGACAGTTGTTAAGTGAGTTTTGCCCCATTTTAGGACCTTTATTGCCACAGTTGTTAAGTGAATTACTGCAGTTGTTAAGTTAGTAACACAATTGTAAAACAAAACTGGCTTCCCCATTGACTTTGCTTGTCAGAAGATCGCAAAAGGTGATCACATGATCCTGGGACACTGCAACCGTCATAAATATGAATCAGTTGCCAAGTGCCTGAATGTTGATCACGTGACCATGGGAATGCTGCAGTAGTTGTAAGTGTGAAAAACTGTCATAAGTCACTTTTCTCAATACCGTTGTAACATTGAATGGTTACTAAAGGAATGGTCAAGGACCACCTCTATTGGAGATCTTCTAGTCTAAATTTGTGCCCAAATCAGGGGTCTTCAGACCATCCAAACATTAATAGAAAACTTCCAGTGATAGAACACTTAAAGAATTGTTTATTTAAGTGACGCTATATTTCAGTTTATTGTTCAATGCTTGGAAATGCAGTTCATTTAATAAATATTAAACATTGTGCCCAGCTCATAACAGATTAGTGGTGGTAGCTTCTTTTGCCCATATTCCTTCAGTATGTTTGAAGGACATACTATATAATGTGTATTTCTTATAGTTACTGTCTAGGCTACTGCAAATATTATAGTAAACAGTATTCATTTGACCTTGACTACAGTAAATAAAACCATGGTTGAATAATGCTTGAAAAACCATATTCATAGTAAAAGTATTCTATGTGCATTTACACAGAAATAATCAAAACAATAGAGGCTATTGGGGGGGAAAGACAGAGAATATATCAAAAGCTTTTGCATATCACAGAATTGTAGAGTTGGAAAATATCACAAGGATCATCTAATTCAGTGTTTCTCAGCCTCAGCAGCTTTGTAAGATGTGTGAACTTCAACTCCCAGAATTCCCCAGCTAGCATTCCCCCAACCAGCCTGCTGGAATTCTGGGACTTGGAGTACACACATCTTACAAAGTTCCTGAGGTTGAAAAACACTGATCCAGTTCAACACTACGGCAGCTGTATAACTGCTCAGGTTTGGTCCAATTTGGTCCAATAGAGACCACATAACTTATTTTTCTTCAAGACAGACAGAACTTTATTTTGGTCAATATTTTTCTTCAAGGCTTCAGAGTTTATTTGGCTTGCCCATGATTTCTGGAAGACTTGGGGAATGTCTGGTAAGGTCTGCTTGAGCTGTGTTCAGCATTTCCACTCATGAGGAAAAGAAGAAGAAAAAACCCCTAAGGTTACAGCATACTTTGTACAACTATCAAATTTAATTTTTCACTCAGACAAGAAAGGAATTCTTGAAGGAAAGACAGCAAAGCCAATATGCATGACATACAGTACTGATAATCAAGCAGCTCTAACAAGAGTGTCCAGCCTGAGGGTGAGGGCTACATGCAGCCCTGGGAAGTATCTCCAAACACTTAACTATTAATTTTAACATAACATAATTGGAAATTTATTAAATATATGAGGAAGGCATTCATGAATTTAACTGAAACTACTGTATGTTTGGCTACATATTCAAACATTTCCAAAGACTTTTTTTTAAAAATCCCAAATGCTTCCTTTACATAGCTGTCCACCCATTATTGTTTCCAATCTTACCCTGTGGCCTTTGATGCCAAGGCAGAGCTTCTAGAAAGTCGAGCGTTAACTTCAATGATGCAGTACTCTAGAGAGGTGGGATTTAAGGCATACTGGATATTACACTCCCCCACAATGTTCAAGTGGCGGACAACGTTGATCGTTGATTTCCGTAGCATCTGCAACTCTTCATTTGAAAGGGTCTGGCTGGGAGCCACCACAACAGAATCTCCTAATTGAAGAAAAAGCAGTTATCATGATTTAGTCTAACCATGCAATGTTTAGTCTGTATTAAAGCTAGAGACGTATTTTAAGCTATCAAATAGATGCATGGAACTAAAATGTGCTTAGTACTGGAGGCAAATTTATTTATTTGATACAATTTAAAATAAATTTTAAAATGAACCTTTGGAAGTAGACAACGTACAAATAACATGCGTGCATGCATTCACACATGCGTTATAAGATAATATTAAGTAGAAAGATGCTAACACACTGACCAACTCTTAACAATTTTTTTCCTGTGTATCTTGAATTCTACAGTTTTGATAAACCTGGATCTGTAATAAACAGCTGCATTCTACTGTATATATGTATTCAACCTGTTGCAATAACTCAGATGAATGAGTTATTCCTTACAATTTCAAACCTGTTCAAGGTTACTTTAAGCTATTGATGCATACTAGAATTGTGCCAAGTATTTGAGAAGTGATTCATGAAATATGGGAGTGCATTAAAAAGACTTTTTTGTAATAGTTAAAGCAGCTTTTTCATTTATGTATCTCAAGCAAAACAAAGTCAAGCTTGCAAACATGGCTGTGTTAATGGTTCAAAGATTAATGTTTTGTTACATGTTCCATGCCTTGCAAAGCATATTTTTAGAATGCTTTGCAGATCATTAAACTATGTACCATCCTAAATAGAGGATCTGCTCTACTCTGAAATGGAGTATCTGTGATTTTGTAGAATCTCCTTAATTAGAAATCTCAAGGTGTACAACAATTGCAGATATTTAGGAAGGCAACAACCTAACTTGTCCAACACAATGAAGTCTCCAACCTGGCTACAAATCCTATGGGCATTGCGTAGAAAACTAATCCTACTGAACTTGTCAATCTTCCTTCCATATCAATATAAATGAGATTCAAGTCCCAATTCTTTTTTGATCACACATGGCACATATTCAGTATGTCAGATTCAAATATCAACTTTTAATTGACCATGTTACTTCATGATGTGAGGATATCTCATATGATTGCTATGTCAACTCAACTAGTGCAATGCAATTTGCAATTTGCAATGGTACTTCATACAACTCACCCAAATATTTGAAACATATCAATAAACCATCAGAAAATCAAAGTTTTAGTGTTTGCCCACAAATGGCAAATAAATGGGATTTAAACTGACCAGGTGTACATCTGGTCAGGTGTATATCTATAAATATCTTGGAGTGCAATTCCATGCTTCTCTAGCTATTATTTTTCTTTTTCCTGGGCAAGTTTCATAGAGCATACCTCTGTACGATTATAAGATTTTATCATTCAAAAGGAGCCCATTACATCCCTGCACTTTGCAAGTTTTTTCAAGCTAAGGTAGTCTCTCACCTTCTTTATGGCTCCCAAATTTGCTCTTCTGCAAAGCTTAACATACATGAAACTATTCAAAATAAATTTATTGGAGCCATATTGATGGTTCCAAAAAAGTATCAAAATGCCATCTTACATATAGAGACAGGTGTAATCTCCTTGGACACTGGAGTATCGTTTCTTTTTATTAACTTTTGCTAAAGTTAATAATTTCTAGAGGCTTGGCCCCATTAATACTTAGAGATTGTTTTAAATCATTATGACTTAAAAAGCCCTAGATAAAATTCATTTACTGGGCTTTTATGTGGAAAGTTTATTCTCATTATGTTTTGATAATGCTAGAACAGCCTCAAACAATGAATTTGGAATGTAGATCTTCAAACAAATTTAAGCAAGGTGTTGCACTCGAATATTTATCACATACTTTCAAAATGATTTGCTCCAGCCACCTATTTATTACCATTATAATTCTGAAATCTTTTAATGTCCTTTTTGTGACATTTTAAGGTACTCCTATGAGTTTTTGGTTATGTCCATGTAGTGAAGGCTCAATAAAAACTCTAAGCCATATATTATTATGCTGCTCCCCGTACAAAGAATGTAATCAGACCTTCATTTATTCGATCTTGAAGAAATTTCTAGGTAAGGAGTATAAATTGTACTTAATGTTACTTCTTTGAGACAAGTCACCTAGTTTATTGCTACCATCTGTATAATATGTTTATATCATTAATTAAATTTGGACTTCTTATATTATTTTTATTCTCTTAATTGTTTTATATCTTATTTTACTTACTGTTTTATATAATAGCTCTACTATTAAATATTTTATTATATCTGACCTTAGGGCTGTAATAAACTGAACTGATTTTTTATTTTCTTAAAGAACATATGTTCAGAACACTTGGAAGGAATATATATTAACACACTTTCAAGCTGACCAATGTTTTCTAGAACAAGAAATGTGATACGTCTTTTGATTCTTGAACCCGATATTCTTCTCATTGTGTCCTTACCTAACCATCTCCTATCTCCATCTGGCAATCTCTAAGGTCTGAAACCTTGTACAGAGATGGTTCTGGAGGTTAGAGATGGTTCTGGGCATTTGGTGTTAAAGACTGGACTAGGGATATTGGATCAATACTATAGTCCCACAGATCTCAGCACCAAGCCTTGGGACTCCAGTGACAAAGTTTTAAATAACAATGTGACAATGATCTAAGCAAACCTACCTGTATGAACTCCCATTGCATCAACATTTTCCATATTGCAGACAGTGATACAATTGTCAGCTGCATCTCTCACAACTTCATATTCAATTTCCTTCCATCCCACCACTGATTTCTCCACAAGAATTTGATTGGTCATTGCAAATGCCTTGATGATTATAGAGAAGAGAAAGTCACAAAGTTTGTACAGTTGTACTAAAAAAATTAACATTTCCTAATGTTCTTGAAACATAGTTGCTGTCAAAGGGCCATTTCTATTAATAAAAGCAGCCTTGCAAGAGCAGCTGGGCTACATAAAAAAATACACAATACTTTCAGTGAAATTTTCCAAAAAATCTGCTTATCATCATATATTAAATGCTCCCTTTTTATTTAGATCTCCTAAAGTGTGATTGAATAAAGATTATATGGGTCTCTATTAGGACACTGATTCCTCCCAATTAAAATTTCAGCACATAACAATGGTTCACATGACCTGTAATATGTGTTTGTATAGAAAGGCATAAAAGATTACTTTTCTCTTATTAAGCATTCTTTGCCTGGAAGAAAAGTACACTGAGAATAGCACTTCTCCCTATAATTCAACAAACAGTTATTCCATTTTTTCTTGCTAATTTAGATAAAAATATCACAGAAAAATAGCTGTGCTGAAATTTGTGGAGTATGGGTAATTCTTGGGTTACAGTGGCAATGGTGACCAGAATTTCCACCACTAAATAATGCAGTCAGAAAACGCAGTATCACATGACCACATCATTTAGTGACAGGAATCCTAGCTGCCACTGTAACCTTAGGATGTGTGGATTGATAATTGGGAAGAGGTGGGAGTCTCAGAAAAGCAGGCTGGTGAGGGAGAGCTACAGGTGGATGACGGGATGCTAAGCACAGGCCCTCTGAAGCATAGGTGGGTGCCTGGGTGCTGCAGGGTGGCAAGAATGCCACAAACAATACTTTTGAGTGTGGGCTGGTACTGCGAGGAGCATGGGGGGTGCTGTGGATAGGTGCTCCGAAGTACCGGTGGATGCCCTTTTTCAGTGCCATTGTAACTTTGAATGATCACTGAATGAGTGGGCATGGAACAAGGACTACCTATAAAGCTAATGAACACAGTAAGTTTTCTTAGTTAAAATACATTCCAAATCTAGTGTTTCATGATACTGATTCAGCCACTATTTAGATGGTTTTTCGATGAACAAAAACAGAGGGAACAGGTCTGTCAATAGAGACCCCCCTTGAAGTTTGAATGGATATTTTATATTCAAAAGTATATTTTATATTTAAAAATATGCAAGAGACAAACATCAGGAAAAGAACATCAGTTTTCTCCCCAGTTAATCAGAGATATTTGGCCTGCTTAATGTATTCAAATATAATCTTACCATCTGGCAAAATGAGATGGCCACCATAGGATGGCAGAGAGCCAAAGCCCTCACATCACAATCTGGCCAGCAGTCTGTGGTGAAAACATTACCCTTTTGCCAGCACTGAAGAAAAATTCAACTGTCATCCTTTTGCATGTTGAACTAGAATAAGATGACTAACAATCTAGTTTGGGATGATTTCTAGTTACTCAGATGGTGATATGCTAAGCTTTCCTTTCTGACTCTAAATTTCTAGAGGCTACAACTTAATAGTGTCATTTTGTATATAATGTAAATGGGAATTATATTATTCTGCCTCCTTTCAATAACTCTTATTGCATGATTCTATTAATCATGAGTACACAACAGTGTTTCCATAAATTGTCTAAGTCAGTGATGGCGACTTATGGCACACATGCCAGAGGCGGCACTCAGAGCCCTCTCTGTGGGCACGCATGCTGTGCCCCGGAGATGGCGAGGGACTGGCCCCCGCCACCATGGCCCCGCCCACCCAGTCTGCCATGACCACCACGGCCACGCCCACCCAGCACCTGGTGATAAATAAGTGGGTTTTGGGTTGCAGTTTGGGCACTGGGTCTCTAAAAGGTTCACCATCACTATCTAACCTATCTCTCTAACCTTTGGAAGCAGGCTATGATCCCAACATCTTTCAGTGACAGAGGCCCTCCCTATGGCTATTTTTTTTATTATTAAGGCAAAGATTTCCAAAGCTGATAAAGGATGAGAACTTCAAAGAATGAAAGTATTTCCAGCCATTGATAAAATATATCCTATATTTGAAAATATTTTGAGTCTTCTTTTTCTTTAATTTTCAATGTCAGTCTATCCATTTCTGCACAGTCCAGTATTTTCTTGATTATCTCTTCTTCAAATGGTATTTCTTCATTTTTCCAGTGCTGGGCAAATACAATTCTTGCTGCTGTTAATACATGCAACATCAAATATATATTTTCTTTATCATATTTTTCTGATAATAAAAATAATTCCAGTTTAAAATCCACATGTTATCTTAACATCTTTTCTAGCCAAATATGTATTTTTGTCCAATTTTTTTTTTTTTGCTTTAGGGCATGTCCACCAAATATGATAGTATGTGGCTGGTTTTTTGCTTACATTTCCAACAGTTACTAGACATGTTTTTGAACATTTTTGCTAACCTTGCAGGTGTTAGATGCCATCTATAAAACATTTTATATAAGTTTTCTTTATAAGCAGTTGCCATTGTCGATTTATAGTTTCTTTCCCATAGATTTTGCCATTTTTCTAATTCTATATTGTGCCAAACATTTTTTGCTCATATTATCATTGTTTCTTTCACTTGTTCATCTTCCGTTTTATCAATGGCTGGAAAAACAGGGTAGAGACTAGGATCTTAATGTGTATTATTAAGCAAATTGGACCCAGACAACACATTGTTTACCAAGCAGTTATTAATTGTAAATACAGAAAATTAATAAAAAATATTATATAAAAAAGAATGAAAGTATTCCCATAATCTATTATTGAAATATGTTCATATTTTCAGATACCAATGATTCTTCCACATAACCCATCTGTTCTGAGGATCCATCCATCACTTTTCAGAGATAGAAAGTTTTATAAACTCCCTAGGCAGAAATAATTGCTTTATTCTATAGATTATCTATCAACTCAAATATAATAAAAATATTAAAATTTTAAATATTATTGGCTATTGATTGTTTACTAATCAATTATCATAATAATATATCAACATGAAAAGGTGAAAATGGATAAATGAATTTTCAGGCTGAATTTGCTAGTGGCTTCAAAACTACATGGACTAAGGTAAAAAGAAATGGAATATTACTTTGCTTAGTAAATTAATTAATTTTTTTTAAAAAAAATCATTTGAGAACATTTTATTTAAACCATAGCCCTTGTTATTATTTTGGAGTGATGATTTTTAAATAAATTCCAATTTTACATGTTTTTCTTGCTATCATCTTTTATTATGATACTTATGGCAATTTTTATATCTTTTTTATAGAATGATTATTTATTTTGTTATAAATTACAGTTATTTATTTTTGATTAATTATAGTTATAAGGGTATAGTTATATATACATAACTTATATATATATTTAACAAAAATAGCTGTACCAATGAGATAATGTCTAATGTACAGACTTCCTACTTCTTCAATATCTGATGGATTCAAATCAGTGTTAAATATGCTAATTATTATATAATTATTTATATATTTGTATAATTGATATTATATAATTGTGTATTTACACTAATCGCCTGATTGATGTATGCTGGTGTTTGATGTTCCCATAGTATACTAAAAAAATATGCTGAAACTGAATTTTCATTGTGCATGCTGTCCAACATATGACCTATGACTCTGCTTGCAAGGTAACCTGGGTAACCAAAAAGGTGACTCTGGGCACATGAGCCCTGAGTTCCAGATGTGATACCAAAATACCAAAAGAACAACCCGAAAAATACCTTGGTAGCAAGATCCAGGAGATGTTCCTTGTCAGTGCATAAACCTGATCCTAATCCTCCCAAAGCATAAGCTGAGCGAATCATAACAGGGTAGCCAATTTTTTCTGCTGCTTCCAAAGCATCTTCTATCTGCCATAATACAAAAATTAACAGAAAATAAGATAATAATAGATAGAAAACCTCTCTGCACCCAAAATCCTTAAGCATCATTGAATTACTGCATAGCATGCTATAGGTTAGACCTGTAGATGCCGATTAAGTTAATTCTTAATGTTCAGTTAGGACAAAATGGTAGATAAGTTAACTCTAATAACTTTCATAAAAAAAATCTGGGAAAGCTAAGTTTGTTGGGCTTTACCTTTACCTTTACCTTTCAACGTGTAAGATCTTTGGAGAGATAAAGTTTGCTGCAGCAGTGCCACTGTTCATGCAAAGACAGTGGGACAAATAATAGACTGAAAGAGGAACTTTCACAATATAGGCTAGACCTGCCTGCAAATGGAATGCCATATATTCCCTTCACTGGAATTATGCTTTATTTCTGCCTTCTTCATATGTACATTTGTGAGTCAAAATATATTCAGAGCAATGATAAATGGAGAAATAAATCCTGTCCCCACAGCTAGGATGACATGGCCTCCACACTTAGCCACATCACCAGTTCAACCATTTCAAACTATCACCAGATTTATTATTTTAAATTTGATTTACCGATTCCACAGCATAGCTGGGAGCAATCTTCTCATTAATTTCATTCAGCTTGTCTGAAAACATCTGCCTGTCCTCGGTAGCCATGATAGATTCAACCGATGTTCCAAGGATCTTCACTCCATATTCCTGCAGAATGCCACACTTAAACAGCTCCACTCCTGTACACAGAATGAATTGGAACAATTAGCATTCAAAAATGTTCGGAAATCTTTCCTCCTTAATAACTGATTCTTTAGCTATGATGTGGAAGTGAAGGCAGGCCATCATGTTACGTATAGGGTCATATAGGGCCAGCTGACATGAATGTGCATCAATTCTATTCTGGTAGAAGAAAAGTGGGAGTTAGTTATTTATACAATTTATATGCCATTCCATTTCCACAGACTCTGAGCAACATATAATATTGCTTGAAAATTAAAAACAAATATTGGTTAATGAAATGATAACTAATGTACCTTTCCAGATAGCATGATCTTACTCTTCCCCAAATGTCTTTCTGAACAATCACATTTTTACATCACTCTAAAAATGTAGCAAAGGGGGGGGGGGGTTGTCAAGATATCTGAGAGAAAGCAGAATTGGGAGGGAGAGTCCCTGAGAAGGCCAAGCCCAGAGTCCCTGAAGATGGTGTTCCTTTAATGGTGGAGCCTGTCAAGCCCACAGAACTGACAAACCAAAAGAAACAGAACCACATGGATTCTAGAAAGTGTTGAATTCCAAGCCACTTAATTAAGACACAGTCTCTTTGAAATCCTTCCTTTCCCACATTTTGCATTTGGTCTATGTTGCTTTTTCTCACAGATACAGGAAGTCCTCATCTTATTATCATAATGAGACCAGAATTTCTATTGCTAATGGTTGTTAAGCAAATCACTGCAGTCCTTAAGTGAATCTGGCTTCCCCCATTGACTTTGCTCATCAAAAACTGGCTGGGAAGGTTGCTAATGGGGATCACACAACCCTGGTGATCACATTGCAAACATTGTAAATACATGCCAATTCCCAAGCACCCAAATTTTGATCATGGTTTCAGTTGTAACCATCTTAAGGCAAAAGCTGGTTGTAAGTCAGTTTTTTCAGTGCTGTTGTAACTTCAAACAGTTGGTAAATAAATGATTACCTGCCTAGGATTTTCTAAGCTGCGTTAGAGAAATCCCATAACTTACCACAGTTCAGAGCAGTTTGCCCACCCATGCCAAGAATTAATCCATCTGGTCGTTCTGCTTTGATGACCTCTGTAACAAAATGTGGGGTGATTGGAAGGAAATAAACAGTGTCAGCTTGCTTTAAGCCAACTTCATTTGTCTGAACCGATGCAATGTTGGGGTTCATCAGAACAGTTTTCACATTTTCTTCCTAGAAAAACAAAACAAAATGAATTTACATAAGTAAATATAAAGTTATAAAGTAAAATTAAATAATAAGCCAGCTGTCAACACTTTGATTTAAAGGTAAAAATGGCCTTTTGAGTACTTGGGAGTGCTCAACAAGCAGCTGCATCATTTCATAAGCTTGTGTAGCTGCCCTTTTAAACAATTATAATAATTCAGAGGAAGGTCTGCAATGGCAGTTGTAGTTTGGCACAGTTATTATTGCTTTATCATGCAAATAGTCTTGACTACATTACTGTTGCAAATCATGCTGCCAAAGGCAAGGACACCAAGAATAAGTGTCATTTCTAGAAAGGCTGATTTAGCAGCAAATCTGGACAGGTGACTGGTAGTGAGGAAAGAGGTCAAGCTATCAAGATTAATGGAAAACAGAATATTTTTTTTAACTGTAAAATAGAAAGCAAGAAAATAGAGAAGAGGGAAATAAGATTATTTTTGTTATTAAGAAAATACATTTTTCCCTTCTGATTTGCTATCTTCAGATAGCATATCTTCAGTGAAATGGTCCTTTCCCATAGGCTATCTTTAATTCACTTTAATTCACTTTGCCAATTTTAGGGGCTCACTAATGTTTTTTATTAAATCAGCTAAGTATCACCTTAATCAGACATTGAAACTTTAGCCTGGAAAGTCCAAGCTTCCCAGCCTTCATAATTATGAACATGTTTTCCAAAAATTGGGAAAAAATGTACCCCATGCAGACCATTAGTAGAAAGGACATTTTGTACAATTCACCAAAAATTTGTATGGAAAAAAATAATAAAAATTTTACCAAAAAAAAAAGATTTTTTTGTGACTGAAATATTATAATCAAAGTTCCCTTGTCACACATCCCATAAAAAACACCTTTAACTCACTTTTTACATCACAAAATGTAACAGAAAAATATCTAGACAATGTTAAACTTCTTTAAATGGTGTTGGATTCAATAGATAACCCCCCCCCCAAAAAAAATCACTAGAACTGAAAAATATTTCACTTGGGTGGATCATGCACATTTTCTCAAAATGGAGAATTGTTCTTTGCAACCAGAAATCTGTTGGGCAATCTCTCTCTCTCTCTATCTCTCTCTCACTCTCTCTCTCTCTCTCTCTCTCCCTCTCTCTCTCAAAAAAAGAATGAAATTACACTTTGTAATCCATACCTCATACTATGCTATTATAACTTTAATCTCTTTATTAGAAAGATATTATACAAAAATCCAAACATGAACACAGGTAAAAGATTCCTTTATTCCTAACTACATGTACAGTGGAAAACCTAATTATTGCCTTATTTATAAAGTTATTCCCTATAAGTATACTATTTCATAAATAATTCAAGGTTTTCAAAGTCTGTTACTTGCTTTGGCAAATATGGGTCTCATACAAAGTTACAAATGAGGTCATAATGCTTCATTTTTGCTGCATCACCAAAATTACTGGAAGTTTATTGTATAGTAATAGCATACATAAACCCTGAACATCTCAGTAAGCTTAGCCTACATGGTGATTTGTGCTCTGGTTAACCCAGAGATCTGTTACCTGTCAGTTGCCACATCATTTAAAATATTCTTTGCACTTCCATCCTGGGAACAGAGTAACAGATACCAAGCTGAACTTGGAAAATAATAAAATGCATTTGTTCACAATAAATCACTATCTTTACCATTTATAGTAAAACACTTTAAAACATTTATGTGAATTATTTCATTGCATGCTTATGAATAATGGAGTCCACTTAGAAGGAATAATAGAGGCAGTTATGTCATGCTTCTATATTGTGTCAAAGATTTTATAAAAGCAGAACAAACTCTTCCTGTCTGGAAGAGCAGGAATGGCTATGGCACATGCCAACATTTCAGTGTCCTTATTCTTACCTTCATGGCTTTCACAGCCTGGGAGCCAGAATAATCAAATTCTCCTGCTTGACCAATAGACAAACCACCAGATCCTAGGATGAGAACTTTGGAAACCTTAAAATAATCAAGTCATTTATTTATTTATTTATTTATTCAATCAATCAATCAATCAATTTTTGGCAATCCATCTCAATCTTTTTAAATCAATGAAGCTGTATCCTAACTTCTTTCTTTCTAACAGGAATAATTGATGCATCCCCTTTGACTCTGTTCCTGTTGATTATATAATTGCAATGAGAAGGACATTAATTTTCAAGCATTTCAAACCCTAGTCACTACTATGGGTAGCTAGCCAGCTGGGAATTCTTGAAGCTCTAATATCATGTGATCTGGAAAAGCTAATAAATTCTTATTATTTAGATCACTTCATTAGAGTGGGTGGACTGACCCTGCCCCCAAAGCATAGCATAGCATGGCACATTGCTTAAACCTACACTAAGGGATGTTTGCAAGCTTACTATTTGGCTGAATGTACGGCTTTGCAAATATTTATTTTTCAACCTGAGAACTTTTCTAGAATTTGCTAATGCACATTCAGCCAAATAAGTAAGCTTACAAACATACTTCATAATGTCTGTCAAGACATCATAAGAATCACTGTTGTCCAAAGGAGACCCTCTTTAAAGAACTATTCACTTCCCGTGACAAAATCCAAAACTAACATATGCAAAATATTTTAACCTCAAAACATTCCAGCCTCAAATCATTGATTTTGTTTCATGTCTAAGCTTGGTTGTTTGCTTGCAGACATTTCATTACCTGACTAGGTAACATCTTCAGTGCCTAAAGCCTTCCAGCAAGCTAGGCAACTTCCAAGTTACCTAGTTAGGTTACAAAATGTCTGCATGTGAACTACTAAACTCAGACAGCATCAAGGACTTCACAATTCAACCCTAAGCTACAACAATACTGATGGATGCCAATCATGAATTTAAGCTTGTTCAAAGGAACAGAGTCTGTGCTTAAGGGGCTGGAAAGTTAGACTTTATGATTCTCATGCCAGACTGCTAGGTTGGGGGTATGGGGGGATAAATTGCAATAACAAATAAAATTTGTTAAATCAGGATGTCTCCACAATAGTAGAAATGAACATTTAGTCAGGAAACTCTTCTTCCATAAGCCCAGGTAAGAAGAGGCTGATTGCAGCACTCTGGAATGTAAGCAAAAATCTTTCTTGTGACTACTAGACAAGTCTGCCATTCAAAGCAAGTTCTAAAACAGAACTATGATGAACAGTGGCTCAGATTAAACCTCAAGGAGACATGTTCTATGGCAGTGGTGGCGAACCTATGGCACGGTTGCCAGAGGCGGCACTCAGAGCCCTCTCTGTGGGCATGCGCGCCGTCGCCCCAGTCCTAGGCCTTCAGCTGGGTTTTATAAAACCTTTTCGCTTTAGGCCTGCACCACCATGTACAAAAAAAAAGGTTCAATCAACCAGTCAATTTCAACTTCTCGCGGGAAAAAAAAGATCTTGCAAAGTTGGAATTGATTGATTGAACTTTTTAGTCCCACCCAGTCTGCTGTTACCCACCCAATGGGCCACGCCCACCCAATTGGCCATACCCCCCCCCCGACGATGCATAAGTGGGTTGCAGTTTGGGCACTCGGTCTCTAAAAGGTTCGCCATCCCTGTTCTATGGCATGAAGATCTAATAGATTATAACTTTAAATAAATCAATATTTTTTTTTCCTTTATGTACTAAAAGGATGCATTCCAACCTCCATCATATTAATAATCATCTGGAGCAAAACTAGTGTTTTTAGCAAAACTATCCGAAGCAGAACATCCAGATTCAGCCAGAGTTTCATTCCATACAGCATTAATCTTGCGAACTCTCAAGCTTCCTCCTTCCGTTATATATTCAAGATGGACAATATTTAATATTTATTTGCTACATATATGTAGGGATGTGGGTCTATACATATGTTGTTCATAGTATGGTTAGGTGTGTGTCATGTATGTGTTTCACTTTGAGAGCGGGCAACTAAATTTCATTTTTGATGTGTGCCATTGTGCCCACAGTATAAAAATGACAATAAAGGTTATCTTATCTTATCTAATATAAGTTTCACGTGTAACAAAATCAAGACATTTTTAGCAAGGAATTTTTGTTATGCAGTTTTCTAGTAATTTTTCTATCCAGCTCATATAAAACAGCAATAATCAGTATGGCTAATAGTTCAGATAAAGGCAAAATAAAGCACAGTAATATACAGACCTCGACTCTTGAAGTTGCAGCTGTGGTTTTGGGTAGCACTGAAGGAACACTTGTAGCTTTTCCCTTCTTGATGAGTGAGATAAATGAATCAAATATGAACTAGAAAAATAAACAATAAAGTGTAGCAGCCTCCAAAAAAAAACTATATTATTTACCTCATTTGAATAGAATTCTAGAATTATCATTGGCACAGTAGTTAATTCAAACTAGTGTGTACTTTTCATGTTGCATAAAGTATGATCCTGTACACAAGGAGAAAAACTACAATACAAATTATGTGGTAAAGGAGAACAAATTATTATTGGCTGTCCTGTGGAGCCACTGATCTAAAACAGTCCTAAACATAACCTCCTTTAAGGATGTTTCTGACTCTGTGATAAAACTTTCTTAAGTCATGCAAGTCTCTTAAGTCTTATGTTTTTTTTCTTCACCCATTTCAGTGTAGGGTTCAGCCCTGTTCTTGAGAGATGACCTATGTCCAGGGCTCGTTTAAATTTCCAGAGAGTCAGGGAAAAGTATTAAAAAAAACAAAAGCATAGCCACACAAGTCATTCAGGAGGCACAATTTCTATCCATTACATTTAACCTCTATTATTTCTCAATCATCTTCTTCCACATACACAGGCTTGCTTCAGATTACTGATCCTAACCAATTTTTCCAAGCATTTTAACATAAAAGCAAACAAAAGTCTACAGAGATTCTCAGTTATCCAGGTCATGGTTGTCCCAAAGGTTTCAAAAGGCAACTGGACTTTGTTTTTCCTTGAATAAGTTTCACTTCTTCAGTTCTGCTCAGTTTGGGACATAAAAACAAGCAGTTAGGCAAAAAGTCAGATGCTGTATTTTTTCCCCCCAAATGAATATACATAAAGAAGTATTTAACATAAATTCTATTACTATCATAAGCAAAGGATTTGAATGTTTTTACTACAATAACCTAACAACCCAGCAAAATTACCTCTCCAGAATTTGCTATTTAGTATCATTAGCATTCTCTTGATAATTAGGTTGTGAACCTAATTACTTTAATTAATAGTTAACTTAATTAATAGATAAATTCTTTGCATTGTATCCCAAGCAAGCTAAACAACCAGGGGCCTAAGAAATTTAATGCACACTTTTCATATAATCTGCATGAAAATCTAAATGCCATTTAGGACTTTCTGCTGTTGATTTACAACAGAGTCTCATATAAATGTGGATTTCGATTGTGTGGGATTTTATTGGACAATAACATCAGCTTGCTCATATTATGAAGCAAATCTACCCATCTTTAATTTCTTTGTTTATTACAAAGATATAATAACAGTCTGCCTCAGAAGTTTAAACTGAATAAGCAATGTGGTTGTCCATTATGAATCTTATGAAAATTTCCCTTGCTATATTTTCCAGGCCTGAATTTACTGCATTATTTATTCACTTCATTCTTGCAGGTTATAGTCCTTTGTGTGGGTGAGCTTCTTGAGGATGAAAATAGAATCTGGCCAAGGATTAGGAAAGCATGCTTTATGACAGAAATAGTGTTAATTTTAAGAGACGTATTACAGGGATAGACAAAGTGTGGCACCTAGCTAACTGTCCTCCCTGTGGTGCACTGAAGATTGGGTATCCCTGGAATTGGGCCTCTAATTTCTCTTCTCACTGACTCATACACCAATCACAATTCTCATAATGTATTGAAGAATGTCATGCCAATCTTGGAGTAAAGGCTTGGCGAATGCATCTGCCAGAATCTCTTTTAGTGAACAATATTTTAATTCATTGAGTTCCTTTTCTTGAGCATCTTGCACAAAGTGGTGATTGGGCCTATGTATTTTGTTCTGAAGGTAGGTTTTCTTCATTTGGGAGAATTTAATATATCCTATATTTGTCATTCCTCTGTTTCCATTCTGTTTTAGGAAGTAATTTTCCATAGGCCTTCTGAGGTAGATGGCTTCAGTTAGCCTTAAGAATTCAAGATCTTTTATCTTCTGTGTGTGTTTTAGGAGATAACTTTCCCGCTTTTTTCCTATCTGGATATCAAGATAGACAGAGATGCTTCCCAACTTCTTTAAACTCATTGCTTCTGCCTTGTAAGTTGGACATCTGCATCTACCTGCCCTTCCCACCTATAAAGTTTCAGTCTTACAGAGATTCCCAAATTCAGACTGAAGGATTAGCTCAACATTTATAAAGGTTTTTTTCCTGTTCCATTTAGCACATTTATTCCTTGTCTTTGATAAATTTCAATCTTTTTCCAGTAAAGCAAGAAAGACAGTAAGCAATTAAAATGCATTTTTTTCTAAAATGTCTTTTGAATACAATAACTTCAATGAATACTATTACATCCCTTTTTTTACCTTTCCTGCACATTCTGAAGCTGTTTTCTTATTACACTCACCAAATTACTCAACATATTGCTCGTGGGATTACCAGGAGAAATCACAGGCAGGGGATTAAGCTTCATTTTCATATATGAGAACAAGAAAATGTGCATGTGAATTCATTTACATAATTCTACAACTTCAATAAAGAAAATGTATTCAAAATGCATTTGAAAAGTAATAGGTCTTTTCAAGGGGAAAGAAATATAGTAAGAAATATACCATATTTCTTTCACAAAGATCAGTAATTGGGACCTGATTCTACCTATCCAAATTGAACTGCATGTAAGAAAATATTACACAGAACTAAAAACTTAGCAACAGCTAAGCCTAAATTGGCCTTTCCCGCCTTTAGTCTCCCAAATGATGTTTGACTACAACTCCTATAATCACATCAGCATGATCAATGTTCAGAGTTGATAATAACTGAAGCCCAACATCTGGAACTCAAGACTAGAAAAAAAAACACTGTCCTAAGTAATTATACAAATCTAATTCTTATGTCTTCCTTCCTTTCTTGTGAGTTTCCCAGAAAAATATGCCATTGTTGAAAATTAATTAGACCAATCATTGATTTTATTCTTGTAAACTGTAGAGTTGTGCACAACAGCAAATGGCACCTCTTTGCAAAGCTGTCTTGAGTCCACCTGCTGAAGTGACCTGCTTTGAGGCAGTGCCTTGATGTAGGAAAGAAAAATGTCCCACTTCCAGTCAGCAGAATAGAAGCAGTCCCCATGTTTCCTATCCAGGAGACCACTAAAGGTCAGAGAAGTGGCTAATATGATGCAATGTGATGGGTCCACTATAGCACTTTGAAATAGAGTTAAATCATGGAACCACACCACACACCAAAGGAACTTTGATCAAAACAAAGCATCCTTTCTTGACATACTGATTGTGACTATAAACTATTGGAATTCCAAGTCTAGGGATGCCAATTCATGACCACATCATGACTAGCTGACCACAATATAGAGTTAGATGGAATAAAGTATAAATAGAGAGTTAAAGTTTCTTTTTCATTATGCCTGCTCTTTCTTTTATGAGATGACTGCCATTTGCTTTTCTTCCCAGATGGACAGAGAGTGCATGCTTCTTCATTTTTCTAGCTAGCTAGGTGCCAGGCTTTGCCTATCCCTATAAAATATTTCTTGTAAGTCTCCATTCTGCTATAGTTATAAAACTTGCATCACTAATTATTGCTCAGGTCAGATTCTGGCTCTTGGGATTTTTTACATGCTCACACAGAATGCTTAAACCATCAATAGGGTTATGCTCCAGTAAATAATTATGCAAACTTCTGCAAAGAAAAATAAGGATTGGAATAAGAGAAGATTGGAAAATAAAGCTAATGACTTTGAAAAATGGGATCAAATGTCTTGCCCCTGGCGGAAGCCTCATCTTTAGATATATCTGGGTATGAGGAGGAGGCAGATTGGTCAGGAGCTATGAACTCTAGTAGCCACAATACTATGAAATCAATTCCCACCTTGCCAGGCCAAGTGACCCAGACTCTGATCTGGAGGTTAGACCCCCCAAACCTTAGGACAAACATACACTTAGATACCAAGTCAGAAAACTGCACTCTGCAGAAAGGCCAGGTTTATAGGAGAAGAATATATGAGCTACTGTTCATATGATGATTGATGGTTCTCCATTGTGTGCTGGGAGCAGGCTCAGTATGGAATATTTACACCCCCTTTTACAGCTGCTGGTTGCTTAAATAATTCTTCCGATCCAGCTGCTGGTTGCTTCACTGTGTTGCCATGTTCCTGTTAGTCCCTTGGCCTATCATTTTTGTACATTTTTGAAATGCTCTTGTCTCTTGCTGCTGTGTATGTTTGCCTGAGGTAGTAAAAACAAACCTAATTCTTTCCATTTTCTCCGCTACTGGTTTTCCTCAAATGTCTACTGCTCTGCTTCCTACTATAGCCTGTCTTAGCTGATCATTTACAATCATATAATTAGTTTTCTAACAACCAAACTAGGGCATGACTGGGAAAGTTAAGCCCACAATTCTCCTTAAATCAATCAATCAATCAATCAATCAATCAGAATAGAGATGGAAGGGACCTTGGAAGTCTTCTAGTCCACCCCCCTGCTCAAGCAGGAAACCTCTACAATTTGAGACAAGTGGTTGCCAAGTCTCTTCTTAAAAACCTCCAGTGATGAAGCAACCACAACTTCTGAAGGCAAGTTTCTTCCACTGGTTAATTGTCCTCACTGTTAGGAAGTTTCTCCTTAATTCCAGGTTGCTTCTCTCCTTGATTAGTTTCCATCCATTGTTTTTTGTTCTGTCCTTTGATGCTCTGGAATATAAGTTGACCCCTCCTCTTTGTGGCAACCTCTCAAATACTGGAATACTGCTATCATGTTCTAGTCCTTTTTTCTAGACTGACCATACCCAATTCCTGCAACCGTTCTTCATATGTTTTTGTCTCCAGGCCCTTAATCATTTTAATTGTTCTTCTTTGCACTTTTTCCAAAGTCTCAACATCTTTTTTGTAATGTGGTGACTAAAACTGGATGCAGTATTCCAGGTGTGGTTTTACTAAGATTTTATAAAGTGGTACTAATACTTCACGGTCATCCTTGTCATCCAAACAGAAAATTCTCCTGAAGTCTCAAGAAATTGCCTTAGACCCAGAAAAAGAGATTCATTCAGTGTCAAACTACATGTAGATGGCAAGTCCAAGCAAGCAAGAATGGCCAGATTTCAGTACAATATCTTTACTGCTAAGCTGGGATGAATACAGAAACTTGAAAAAAAAGTCGGCCTCAGTTAAAGTGTGTTAATTAAGATGGAGACTTTTTGGAACACTTTTTCTCCACATTTCTTACATCTCGACTTGGTTACCTCTTCTAAGATAAACTTTCAAATGCCTATTCCTCATTTTGTCATAATCTGTCACACACTGAGACAAAACAAGAACAAAGAGCTTGGAACTGGGGAAAAAGTAGCGAGGATGATCTATCTGACAGTGAGTAACTCCATTTTTTTGTGAATTTAAGGCATTTAAATAAAGTCAAGGGAATTTGGAAACGCCATTCAGATTATATAAACAAGATTGATAGTCTTCAAAGTCTCCAATTTCAGAAAAGTATGTCTCAAATATCTGGAAGAATATAAATCTGCATATACTTGTTAAAGATGGCTATGGTTATGTGACTGGTAATGAAGAATTGCCTATGAAATGCATGCTCCAGAAAAAATGGACTCTTTTAATTAGACTCTGCATATGATAAGCCAACAGCAGCAAAACATTGCAACCATAAAATTGATTGAATGTGTGGCACAGAAAAATGGGATGTAGAGATCCAGATGCCATTGTTAATTGGACAGAGAAGGCATGCTTCCGGGGTCCTGAGAGATGACATTGTTTAATCAAAGGAACCCTTAGTGTGCCAACCTTGTCAGATCGATTCAACCAGGCAGATACTATAGCAGAAAGGTGATCTTTTAAGCCACCAGACCATATGCTCTATAGAGCTTTATAGGTAATAGCCAGCAGTTTGAATCACACCCAGAAACAAAATAGCAACATCTGTGATTCACAAAATATCAAGGTATGCCCATCATTGCTCACACTGCTGTACTCTGGAAAAGTTGGCTTGTCAGAATGGTCTTCAAGGGCAACCCCATGCAGAGCACATTGCAGTAGACAATGCAGCAGAAATGTTTCCATGCCAATATTCTGAAGTAATAGAATGGTGCTACCTGATTTTTTTTAATATGCATAGATCTATATTCTGATGTTAGAGAAGGATACTATTTAAAATGTTTTGACTCAAATAGCTACTGTGTTATGTGAACCAGCTTTGTTCAGGCACCAAGCATGACCTTGCTCTCTACACTGCTGCAGCACTGGGCTCAGCAGTTTTAATTCTGAACAAAGCTGAATGCACACACTATGCAACATTGGGATTCAAATGGGAGGTATTGTTGCAGAATAAGGTTCTCATGTTTGACCATTTTATTATTATTTTCACCTAATCCCCCCATCAAATACCTCAGTGTCGGTTGGCCCTGGATTGCCTTCTGGATAGAACTGCACTGTGAAAATTGGCTTGTTTTCATGCATAATTCCCTGCAGGATTAAAAGTAAATGATAAAGTTAGTCCTCTTCCTGGGAACAAAAATAATTTTAAAATGCTCTTGTTAGCAAACCCCACATATGGTCAAGGCTAAGTGTTTGATAGTTTAGTTTAGAGGGAGAATTGAATTTATTACATCTTCAAACTGGTCTTAGTCCAGGAAACAGATAAGCAACTCTTGAGTGAACAGCATTTGTAAAATGTATTGAGTTTTGCATAAGTTTTGAATCTGTCATTCATAAAATCCTAACAGAAATATTACCCAATTCTACTTCTATTATAGGAGAATCACCTATGAATATTGGGTCCAGAATCTAAAAAGAAACCCTAGTTTACTAAGAGAAATACTACTAGCTATTTTTCGAAAAAGGCCTCTGAGTTCCAATGAATGCAAGTTGCACTTCTGAATAACTTTCAAAGGAACAGAAATAACTTCATGTTTCTTTTCCCATTTGTTGCTGCAACTTCAGTTTCCATCAAGCACGCTCTATAAAATGCACCAAAGAGTTTTACTAGCTACGGAGGGATCACCACCATGCCTAGAAGCATTTCTCCTCCCTCCCTTTCCCTTTCCAACATACATGCAGATGAATAGGAAGTCATATGCCTAGATACCATTTTGGATTTTTGACTGGTCCCTATAAAAGTATTGCCTTGTATCCTCTATACTGTATAATTCCAATATCAATTTTCCAGTAATTCACCAAAGATAAATATTTTATTGAGAAGAATCTTTAAGAATTCATGGGACTGATAATCCAAGCAATATTGATGCCAGCTTGTTCTTTGATGAGCAGACATCCACCCTGTCTCATCAAATCCTTCAGATTACCCAGAGAAAGAAGTCTTACCTCGTTGGTTTGATCGTTTGCATTCACAAACAAAGGCTTCCAATCTGAAGGGAGAGAGTTGCCATCAATTGCATATCCATGATTCTGAGCAGTAATGAAAGCTTGTCCATTTAAGACATTCACAACTGGCTGATTCTGTCCTCTGAAGAATCAGGGAGAGAAGGAATGGTTTGGTAAGGAAATCACATGTGGGGAGTGAAAGGCAAGGGAAGATGACCACAGTGAATTGATATTCTGCCAAACTTTGATTTGCCATTTCTTAAAAGTTTTCTTCCCTTTGTGAAAGAGCCTGTTTTATTATCTTATTCTCAAGTTGCTTGAGAATTTCTATAAAATTTCTTTTGAGTGCTGTTTTTGAGATTATTTCATTGGAGGAAGTGAAAGAAAATGGGATTACGTAAATCACACTAATTATTCTGAAGCATTCCTGTTTCTCACACTTTTTTGTCTCTGTGTGGGAGTGGTTTGGAATTATTGTTGACTCCTGGTGACTGCCTGGACTAGCCCCTGAAGTTTTCTTGACAAGATTTTCAAAAGTGGTTTGCCCTTGCCTGCTTCCTAGGGCTGAGAGAGAGTGACTGGCCCAAAGTCACCCACTGGCTTTGTGCCTAAGGTGAGTAGAATTAATGACTGGCTAACTTCTAACTTGATGCCTTAATCACTATGCCAAACTGGCTCTCCTACTCAACAGCCTGTTAAAAACTCCTTGGTGACATTTTCCCTTCCAAGAATGAAGCATGGGAAGCCAGGAAAGTTGCATAACCCTATAAAAATGGCTGCTCACTGAGAAACAGGAGAGCACATGATTCTTGTGGTGACTTTGTTAAACAAAGGCCAAGAACATCACACTTCACATCTGAGAACTTTTCCATATTGTCTTTTGAAATAAATTGTTGAAAGGAATTTTCATTTCAATAAATTGAATGAGAAATAGTACTATAGAATAAATATGTGGGAACATTTTTCTGCAGCAAAGCACTACATTTAATCATATTTAAAGGCCAGAAATTCTTCTGTTTGCTACTATGCAGGAAAAATGTTACAGCTAAAATAAAATTATTTCTTCATGTTATATTCTGGTCATTTGGTGTCTTCGCAATCTTTGTTAGTTTTTTTTCCACAAGGCCAACACAATTAACCATGATAACTTTTAAATAAAACAAATTTCAGGGACATAATGGAAACAAACTACACAAGATCCATGAAATGAGCTTCTGAAATCATAGCAACTTCTTCACTAGATGTCTTTTCCATGATTATTTGCTTTTTGGCAGTGAAGGGGCCAATTGTTGCTATGGCTACTGCACTGAATGGGACAAGGGTAACTGCAAATGCTACAGTTACTGATTAAAATAGGTGGAGATTTTTGGCAAATGGGACTTGTCACTAAGTAAAACATATATTATAAAAGAAAAAGTGTTGTTCAAACTCTGCATCTTTTAAGTGCTCCTGGAATCCTTATTTTGCCTCTGTATAGCTATCATATGCTACTAGTTTTGTCCTCCAGCAGGTCTGTCTACTCTACTCTTACCACAAGAGAGAGTTTTGACAGAGAGTTTCAGGGGTTTCTGTCTGGCCATTAACAGATTGTCCTCATTTAATGACCTCTTCCACAGCAACTATCCGAAGCTACAATGGTGTTGAATGAGGAGACTTATGGTGGGTTCTTAGGTTACAGTCATTGCATGATTGCAAGTCAGACACTTGGCAACTGCTGGCAATTATGATAGTTACATCATTCCACAGTCAAATTATCAATGTTTATGACTTTCCCACATGGTTCCCACACGTCAATGGGGAAGCCAGCAGAAAGTCACAAAAAGCATTTAACGACCACATGGGTTTCACCTAACAACTGCAACTGGAAGCACAATCATGTGACATCAAGCTTTACAACTGTCTCGCTTAGCAATGGAATTCACATTCCCGATTACAATTGTTAATTGAGGACTACCTGTAACATAAAAGAATAGCAAGTCTAGGCCAGACACCAGCTTTGGAAGAAACTGCACGTAAGTAGCAAAAGACATGATTCTCATAAGGTACATAAATTGCTTTCTAGTAAACATGGAATACTTTGACTGAGTTTCTCTCAAAAAGATTGGTGCTGGATGATCATTAAAAACACTCCTGTCTCTTGGTTCTTGAACATGTGCACATATATGTCTCATACCTGTTTGCCATGGCCATTTTGTAGGATGTTGCCCCAGCTGCTAATCCAGTAATGAGATTCCCCATACTGGTTCCAAGCAAAGACTCCTGGCGATCATTTTTAAGAACCTAGACAGGAAAGACTGCTATCAAAAATTACTAAAAAGGAGCTTTCACCTGCTGAGATAACAAAAAAAAATTCTTTCTGGTTATAGGCAGTATTTTAAATTGATTTCTAAACAATTCCCTTTTTAAAATGATATTGCCAGCTTCTTCCCTGACAGTAATTTGCACATATTTAATAACTATGGAAAGGGAAATTGCATCAGGGCACCTTTTTTAGTTCAAAGAGAGGCAGAAAATCTGCCTCAAAGAAGGCTAGTGTTTCATGCATTTTCATGTAGCGGTCTCGTAGAGGCAGCAAAGCAAACAATCCTAATTTCAAGAGGGCTAGTTCTTATGTCCCCCACCACCACCACTATTGAAGTAGGATGTGAGAACTTGACATTTAAAAGAATGCATAGATTGTGAGATTATAAGCGATTGCAGTGTAGTATCAGTTAATATACTGTTTAGCAACCATTCATTTTGTAGTTTGTATTGTTTTACCATATTAGTGCTACATATTACAATCACTCTGCTTTCATGTACATTTCAGTTGTTTAGAATTTTGTTTGCTTCTTTGGTCTGTTGAATTCAAGGAAAATACATTTTTGAAGAAATCATTTGCTGTTCATTTGGTTCCAATTTTTTTGTGATTCAGTGGACATCAGTTTACCAGAACTGTCAGTATAGTAACTGCTGTTTTGTCTTTTTCTACACTCCTGTTTATGTTATCAGTATTAGCAACCTTGCCTTCTCTTAACCTCTTTTTATCTTATCTTTCAGCCTCTTTTTCCGTTGCTTTTGATTTTTTCCAAATATTTTCCAAAATACTCAAGATTAGCTCAATTATTAGTGCTTCCAAGTACTTGTTCTTCTTGTGATATAAGGTATTCTCAGTAATTTTCTCCAACATCACAAAGCATTCATTCTTCTGTGATCATCCTTTCTGATGATCTGGTTTTCATAATCATATGTTAAAATCATAGCCTCGGCAATACAATTTTTGTTATTGTGCTTTCTGGACACTTGAGTATTCTATTTATTACTTGGACTATTTATCCAAGTAATAGAAGTTCATTTCTTCTTGTATATATTTCAATTGTTCAGAATGCTATTTGGTGATTTAATATTCCCTGTGAAATTAGGAAGATAAAGTCTATTATTATTCCACCTTCTTCTCTATCTACTTCTACTGGGTTGGCATTGCTTGCTGACATAATGTAATCTTCCAGATTGTTACAGATATGTTTAGCAGCATTCTAGCTTCTGTATTGTATTCTTTCCCCTTCAACAAAAAAATCCTTATCTTCCTCACAACCAGCCACTGAGGTGTACACCAGCATATCTGAGATCACTGGTATTTTTCCCAGTAACATTAGCTGCACTTTCTATTTCTTCTAGTTTATACTTCTTATGATATAGTCTGCATATAAATTAAATAAACATGCTGACAGCATGCAACCTTTAATATTCCTTTCAACATTTTGAATCATTTGCTCCTTTCTAACTATTACTTCCTAATCATCATACAAATTCTTCAGTTGGCAAGAGAAATAGATTGTATGCTCATTTTTTGAAGAGTTACTGCCAATTTGTTGTAGTCTATACAATAAAAAAACTGAATAATCAGTAAAACAAAAACAGGTACCGGTATTTAGTTTTTTTTAATACCCCTTGTCTTTTCTATTATTCCTTGGATATTACCAATGTATTGTAATCATTTTCATATTCCTTTCCTTTTCCTAACATACAGTAGTAACACGTTTTCTCTAAAAATAAAACAATAAAACAAAAAATATCTTCTTCCCATATCTCATCTCATACTGTATCTATAAACAATTTTAAGCCTCATCATTCAAACTTAATCAAGAAAAAATTCCATTAAGATCTATCAGAAAAAACAGATTGAAAATTTTGATCTTTAATCCCTTCAAATATTGTCCCACAATTTAATTTCTTATTTTCTTTTCAGAAACTCCTTCACAAGTTTAACCATTTCCTTCAATTTTTAAGAAGGAACAAGCATACTACTTTCTCTAAAACACAGAGAAATGTCTTCTACTCACATCTTATCTATAACCAAATATTTAAAGCCTCAATCCTGGTCAAGAAAAACTCATTAAAAGCTGCTAGACAAAGCATATATTTTAACCTTATTCAATTAAGCCAATTTTATATTCCCTATTTCTGCTTTAAAAATCATTTTAAAATGTTTATTCCTTTTAAGTATTGTCTCAAAAGCTGATTTATTTTCATTTTCTCTTGATCTTTTCTCAGAAATTCTTTCATTACACATCTCCTTTGTAAGTCCAAGATAAGTTGTCCAGGTCATTCTTCTGAGTTTAACTCTACATATCCAAGTCAACTCTTATAATTTATTTGTGTATCCCTTTTAGCTATTAAAACATCAGCCGGTTTCATTTGTAAATCCTGTGTAACATCTTTGTCCGTATCATTACTGTAGACTGTCATTTTTAAATCCCTATCCAAAACAGACTGATTCTCAGTTGTATTCTACCTCCTTTTTAAAACCCATTTCTATAGTAGTGCACAATCTTGAGAGAAAGTTCTGAGCATATTATTGCCAGATATTCTTGAATTCTTCCAGAGTTAAACTTTTCTCCATTTTGTATCAGTGAGTTTGTTCTCCTCTAATTATAATCTTCAGTTTTTTTCTGGGTGCCTCTAATGACTTGTCTTCATGTCTCCTTTTATAGTGTTTTGCTCTAATCCACCACTTTCTTCATCTTTATTTCAAGGGTAGTGTTTTAATGAAATGCAAATAAAGAAACAAACCATGGGTAATGTAAGTCAACAGCATCATAACAAAAACATTGATTCCAATATACATTCTTTACCTTCCTGACATTTTCAATTAGTTCTGGTGCTTGGGTTGGATCACCAGGGCCTCCAGAAATGAAAAGTCCATCATAGTCCATTGAGGTAAAATCATGATTCCAAGGCACTAAATGAACTTCAGCACCTCTCTGACAACAAAAGAGGATGGACAGCATCAAAGGCTGTTAGGCAATTAACTAGATTATGTGTGATGCAACTAATAGGATAATGAGTCTGAATATGAGAAAAATCCATTTTAATACAGCCCGCTTAGATTTGGCTGGTTGCAAGCAAATGGGAAAAAAAGAGAGTTTTCTCTCTCTATTCTTAATCACTGTGGTTGTCTCTGAAAATGAAGTATAAATAATTGAATGTCATATTCACCTTTAGAGGTAACCACAGTATTAAATAGTATCCCACTACTAGAGCATTTCTCCATAAAGACTTCTTGATTAACTATATACTAGAGGTAAAGGTTAAATATATATAAAGAGGTAGTTCTTCTTTAATATGGGTTTAATATATATATTTAATTGTTCTCAAATAAAGGGAGTCCTCATTTAGCAACCACTATTGGGACTAGCAATTCAGTCATTAGATGAAGCAGTAGCTAAGTGAAACTGCGAGGGTGCTCACGATTTTACTCGTTTTCCTTTGCTTTGCAGGCCTGAAAAGGTCATCCATAAGAGGATTGGCATCAAAGTTGGTTGTGAAACCAAAGATTGGCTTCATCACCATTGTAACTGCAAACAGTCACTGTCTAAGGTAGTCGCTGAACAAGGTCTAGTTGTAATGTATTTAAAATAAAGTCTTTAAAATAAATATTAATCTCGCAAGGTTGTTTTCAGGATAAAATAAAGTGAAAACACATATAAATATGAACCCCTCATATAAGTGGAGCACATCTCTGTAATGGTTGCAGTTGTTGGCTTTCTCAGTATGGTCGCCCATCATGAGAAGACCCCTTCTCTTCTCCATTAATGTGTCCATATGCACATACAAATACACACACATTCAAACATCAGTAGATTTTATCAACTCCAATAAGATTTTAATATGTCAATGTCAGCATTTCAGCATTTCAAATACTGTTTGAGAAATTAGCAAACCGAGCTTTCCAGTTAGTCCTGAACAAAGTAATAAACCCAGAGATACATAAAAAGGAGTCAATATTTTTTTAAGAAATATGTTGATTTACCTTTACTAGCAAACGAATAGCATTGTGCTTCAATCCACAATCCACAGCTACAATTTTGATTGGATTTCCTTTGCCATATATTCTGACCTCCTTCACATATGTTAGGAAAAAGAAAAACATTATTGTATGCTTATTTGTTAACTAGATATATGCATCAGGTGCAGATAACTCACACCAAATACAACTCTTTTTTAATTGTTGTTTAATTGTTTAAACTGGTTTCTTATGCCACCCAGAGTCACATTTATGAGATGGGTAGCTACTGGTATATAAATCAGATGAACAAATAAAGAAGTTAGGACAGAGTCAACATTAATTCAAAGTGTTTGATTAATTTTGCTTTATCTGAATTACACCTGAATTTATCTGGGGGTTTTAATTGACAATCAGTACTCTCTGAAAATCATCGTCTTCTGCAATGTAACTTATATATTCTGGTTCTCTTCTATTAAGAGGCTTACGGCATGCCATAGAGAATCCCCAACAAAGAAGCCTTAATTCAAAGATTGGAAGAATGAAGGCTTCCTCAGCCTGAGGAAGGTTGCCCCATTGTATACCTTGGGATGTAGCTCATGCTACAAACATATTGAGAGGTCCTTTATACATACAGGTATAGATAGAGGTATAAATTAATCTCTTCCTTTAGTTGAATTGGACTCTCAGAAACAATACTGTAATGACTTGCTATTGTCTTCTTCTAGGGTTCACATCTGTATGGTTCCAATTAGTATCATCCCTGTAGTCTATTTGGCACAAAAGGGAGAATGAGATAAAGGAATAGAAGCAGTAATAGTATTAGTAGTAGCAGAAGCTACTGTGAGAAGCAGAAGTAATTTTCCCAGCATCCATTTCAATCTTTTTTTCATTTCATTACCTACTGAAATGCCCCAAAGATCTATGCAATTACAGAGGAAGGTAGCACTGAGAATGTCATATTTTAATATTTTAAACTGCTATCTTATCTTTTTAGCATGAATAATGAAAGTAGAGTTCTATTGGTTGAGAATGACGAGCCATCTACTCCAGATTTGTCTTCACTGGAATAGCTATGCAGATCTACTTCATGTGTAGAGAGGCTCCCCTATCTTCTACTATAAATCCTTTCCAGATATTCAAACATACCATTTTTAAATTTAATTTAATTTATGTGAATTATCACTTCCTCAATCCAGAGCAGTTTAAGAGAATAAAAAGCACAGTACACACAATATTTAGCTACCATAACTAAAATACTGTGTATTCCTCCTTTACATTTTTTCCTTAGCAACAACCCACCCACTTTATACTCGGTTAGAACTTTTCTTGGCTCCAGTCAAAGTAGCTGTCTTTGCTACAAATAATAGGGTATGTAATTCAAGATATCTGGTGGGCACAAGGCTACAGAAGAGCCATCTATCTCTTTTTACACATCTATGGCCATCATTTCATCACATCTTATATAGGAGATCTTCATGGAAATTATGTAATGTGTAAAAAATACCAAAAAAATCCTTTTGAAAATCTTTTCTGAATCTACTGCCAATGTTAATTTCACTGAGTGGCTGTCTTCTAATATTAGGAGTAAAGTAAAAAGGAATTCATTCTATCCTATTCTATCTTTTCATTCATGTTTTAATAATCTTCTAATCATGATTGATGTAATTATAAACAGCATTCTGCTTTTTCAGGAACTTTGTGCAAAATTATCATCATCTGCTCAATGTTCACTTTTACTGCCTCCACATTGATATAGATCAATTGACAAGTTATTGGTAGTTCTTAAAGCTGGCTATATTTTGTTTCTGTTCCAGCAATAAGCAAGTCAGCATTCCTCATCCTCATCAAATCCATTGGACCTAAGACAACTGTGATTTTAAGTGCACATTTTTCCAAAGTCCATGTCTGATCTACTGCTGAGCAAACTATTTTTATCTTTTTAATAACCACCTTTTAATCAGGCTCTTTTGGCACATCGATATTTCACAGCTGGAAGGCTTCATGAAAAGATGATAATCTCCTAACCGAATCATTTCACAGGTGAATTACCACTATTCTGGAGGAAAATAGAAGCTTCTCAGAGGAAAAGAAAGAAGCAGACCTAAAGAGAACATGTGAACTAGTAAAGTGAAGTCCTCTCTGCAATTTAAATTTTGGGCCTCATCCAGAACTCTATTGCACTATACAATACTGAGCTTCCCAGTCCCCTCAATCTCCAATGTATCTGGAATGCCAAAGCTACATGCCAGAGGAGGTCTCAATGATTCCCAGACAACAGCTATAGACTCATACCTTTATGGTTCCTATTATGAGGAAAGAAGAGGTCTTATTGTGACAGTTCTGACATAATTTACATTTACATCTTTGGCTGAAATCTCTAGTTCCTTGATATGCAGAAATGGCGCAAATGAACTTGCACCAGTAATGTCATGAACCTCCAAGAGATGGATTTAATATAACTTCAAAAAGATACCATACAACATTCCTTTTTTCAAATGTTACTTAGTAAGGGACAACTACTGCCTGATGCAAAGAAACAGAAAGAACTAAGATTTATCATTCCTGGTCTGTTCACACTGTTTGAGGTAAAACTTTCAATCTTTCTATACGAGTAACCAGATTAAAAGGGGGGAAAAAAGACACAGGCAAGCCTCTATCACGTCTAACCTGACCTTCATTCATACTCTGTGGAAATAACCTCAGACCTTTGAAATGTCAAGGAAATTATTAAATTTACTGTAGTCCCCAGACTTTGAAAATGCAGAAAAAGAAATAAGGAAAATTAAATAATTTGTTGCAGTTTCAATATATTCTGACAAGAGTTGCCTATTGCCTCTTTAAAAATATTATCAGACTATTCTAACCTATTATTGATAATAAAAAATCATAAATGTTATCATAAATTGATTTATGTGAAAACCATTTTTTGATTGAGAAGGTGCTGGGCTCGGCGGCCTTATAATTCTAAATTATAAATATAAACAAACAAATAAAGATCATTGTGTGCTATAATTGAAGAGCTTGGTTAATTGTCAGCTTTATTTGTGATTCTACTTTATAACTCTATAAAATAAAGTTATAAAGATAATGGGATCACAGGAATTCTGTTCATCTCACATCTACATCTGCTATTTTCAGTATCTTTTTGGCACTTATTCTTTGTACTGGCACAGATTATCAACAGCATCCACTTTTGGTGATAAGTGATTCTGTGAATTAGTTAAAACTGGAACATATTTTTAGATCTCAAATAATCTTCTTTACCTTTTATACCCTTTAAGTGTTTTTTTTTAAAAGATACCAAATAGAATACTCATTTACCTGGTAAAAGAAATCAATTCTACATATAGTTGTGAAAATAATCCAGCTAGCCATTTGGCAAAACATTAAATTTATTCCCTCAGCTGTATGTCCTACTGGATGAACTGAGCTTCTTTTCTGTCCAATATTCTATCCAATACTCATTCCAACATACTCATCTCTGGGTGCAATAGTCTTAAGGTTAAAAACGAGTATGAGGAGATCTCAAGTTCTTCAGGAGAATGGAAACAGGAGGAAGAGCCTTAGTATTAAAAATTATATGAACAGGGACATTTCAGGTTCAATATAAACCTATAACTGAAGACAGGTTGAATGTTCTTGAATGGGGTTTTTATCATGCTAGTAAAGTTATGCTTAAAATCTTACAAGCTAGACTCCAGCAGTATGTGGATCGAGAACTACCAGAAGTACAGGCAGGATTTCGAAGAGGCAGAGGAACTAGAGATCAAATTGCCAACATACGCTGGATCATGGAGAAAGCTAGGGAGTTCCAGAAAAGCATCTACTTCTGCTTCATTGACTATGCTAAATCCTTTGATTGTGTGGATCACAACAAATTGTGGCAAGTTCTTAAAGAGATGGGAGTACCAGACCATCTTATTTGTCTCTTGAGAAATCTATATGTGGGTCAAGAAGCAACAGTGAGAACTGGACACGGAACCACTGATTGGTTCAAAATTGGGAAAGGGGTCCGGCAAGGCTGTATACTGTCGCCCTGCCTGTTTAACTTATATGCAGAGCACATCATGAGAAAGGCAGGGCTAGATGAATCAAAAGTTGGAATTAAGATTACCGGGAGAAATATCAACAACCTAAGATATGCAGATGATACCACTCTAATGGCAGAAAGTGAAGAGGAACTAAAGAGCCTCTTGATGCGGGTGAAGAAGGAAAGTGCAAAAGTTGGCTTGAAACTCAATATTAATAAAACCAAAATCATGGCATCCGGCCCTCTCAATTCCTGGCAAATAGATGGGGAAGAAATGGAGGTAGTGACAGATTTTATTTTTCTGGGCTCCAAGATCACCTCAGATGGGGACTGCAGCCAAGAAATTAAAATACGCTTGCTCCTGGGGAGGAAAGCTATGGCAAATCTAGACAGCATACTAAAAAGCAGATACATCACCCTGCCAACAAAAGTGCGTATAGTCAAGGCCATGGTTTTCCCAGTTGCAATGTATAGATGTGAAAGTTGGACCATAAGAAAGGCTGAGCGACAAAGAATTGAGGCCTTTGAACTATGGTGCTGGAGAAGACTCCTGCGAGTCCCTTGGACTGCAAGGCGTTCAAACCAGTCAGTCCTAGAAGAGATCAACCCCGACTGCTCTTTAGAAGGCCAGATCCTGAAGTTGAAACTGAAATACTTTGGCCACCTAATGAGAAGGAAGGACTCACTGGAGAAGGGCCTAATGCTGGGAAAGATCGAGGGCAATAGAAGAAGGGGATGACAGAGAATGAGGTGGCTGGATGGAGTCACTGAAGCAGTAGGCATGAACTTAAATGGACTCCAGAAGATGGTAGAGGACAGGAAGACCTGGAGGAATGTTATCCATGGGGTCGCGATGGGTCGGACACGACTTCGCAATTAACAACAACAACAACATATATATTACCTAGCCTTAAGCCTTGACGATGTTGGAAGTTTCTGACGAAAGCTCAGTATTTATTAAAACTTTTCTAGTTTGAATTTTCCTGGTGGTCGTGATTGATTTATCATATGACATATATATATATATATATATATATATATATATATATATATATATATATATATATATATATATATATATATATATATATATATATATATATATATATATATATATATATATATATATATATATATATATTCAGAAAAGTTGGGGGCTAATTTAATTTCTGTCATGATAATGCAAAACGTATCACACAGTTACAGCATACTGTTCACTTATATGAAGGATTTTGCTGCACAGGTCATACTGAATTGAAAGGAACAGGATTTGTTTTAATTCAGGAAAATTAACTGAAAAATTACCAATTTGGGATCGGAATTCTAATTAATTTATGGTAATTTCATTGGGAAAATAAATAGCTTGTGTTCTGGAAAAAAATCAACAATTATTTCAGATTTTGGATCTATACCTATAAATTTGTATTTTGCCACTCTTTCCCTTCTGAAAAATGTTCATCTCATTACGCTTGGCAGGACAGACCTTGGCAATAAGCCTCCCTTTTGCCATGTTGCCTTTTTCTAAGCTAACATAATGGGGAATAGTTCACACAAAATTGCAATTAGTAGTAATAGTCCTAGGACAAGGCAATCCTGTATATAAATTATTGCAATAAATAAACAAACAAAATTGTGTTGCTTTTTCTAGTGATTTTGGAAGGTTTTGTTAAGTCCATACTTTTATGCAAACAGAATTAATATTTGTAATTCCAAAACTAATATAACAACATTATATTTTAGTTTTTGGCATATTTCATTACTTCAAAATCCACACAAAATTGTTTATTTACTAAATATTTCAGCATATATATTCCTTTACCATGCTAGATCAGTCTTCTAAGCAGGTGCATGAATAGACATAACTAAATCATATCCTGCCTAAATTCATGCTTAAGGCTGATTTTCCTTAGGATCATGCTTGCTTGCATGGTTATTTATTTATTTCAGTTTATATGGCAGCCCACTCAAAACCACAACTCTGAGTGACTAATAACAATTAAAAATACCATAAATAATAACTTAACAATAAACACATAATTGGCAGCTGAGATAAAACAAATAAAACCATCAGATCAGCATCCACATAACCATTTCCTAAACATAAGCTACTTAGCTTATGTTAAACAGTTACTATAGAAACATCTGGAAAACCCTTATGAGGACATCAAAGATGTCGATTGATCCATTTGAATTTCCCTTTGCCCTATAAATTCTCTCATTTAGTTACTCTTGCACTGTCTTCAATGGTTGCGCAATTCAAGGGAGTCCAGAGTAATTGTCTTCAGAAGTGAAAGTGTTAGTAAAGTTTCATTTTATTTTTAAAAACAGTCTATTTTTTAAAGTAGAAGTTTTGGCTCTTTTCACTGTAATAAATGTAATCAAATGGAAATTGGGGTTGATTTAATCTTTCTCTCTAACTTGGAAGTAATATTATACATGTGATTGTAAGCATGATTGTCAAGTACATTTTGGAGAGGCTTGGGAAAATGAGCCATTCTAGATTTATAGCATATAAAAACATGGGTATGGCATTCAGTAAGACATCCAATTTGAAGCAGGACATGAATAAAATCTCTCATATTTCTTTTCAAACAAAACAGTGAATAAATAAAACAGAGAATGGTTCATCACAACAAAGACAAAAGCCTCAGATTCAAAAGGTTTTCCCCCCCAACAGTTTTATAATTGTGCAATAATATCAGAAAAAGTTCTCTGTGACATCTTCCCTTCATAGCCAAGTTATCAAGAAACTTGAAGAAATTCTCCCCCACTTCTGGGATGAAGATCATTCATTTCAGAGGAAACAAAGATCACAAACTGATAATGAGACCCTATGGCCTGGCCTTCTTTCCAAATTCGGCCTGTTCTAATCACATAATAATGAGGCCTCATGATGGTACTTGGCTCATCCCAAACAATATACACAGCTTTCAAAATTCTCATCATCATGGTAATCAAACTGAGTAGGACAACAGAAGGAACTGCTGTACTTCTACAATGTCTCGAGTGAGAATGGAATCTTTACCTTTGTTGATACTTCGGCAATTAAGTTTTTCTTGTTTGGATCCAAAAATTCCACAGGCTGACCCTCAAATTCAATCTTTCCAAGAATAGTTCCCTGTTTACGGTAGTTAAAAAAATATTGTTATCAGATATCTAGGGACAAAGGACATTTTCATACCACTATCTTTCTACTTCCCAAACTTGCCAAATCAATTCTGTGATGACTCTACATTTCAAAGAAAACATCACCTTTGTCCCAGCCTCACATAAATCACAGAAAAGCCAGAAAAAAATTCTCAAAATCATCCAACATAAAGTAATTGCAATAATCCAAAGCTGGTTCCAAGTCAGCACTAAGCACTTATGTGAAGCACCCAAAATCTATTAAAAGTCAAAATAGTTACTAAATCTTTCTATATATTCTAAAAAAAGTTAGACAACTAAAATAAGGAGCGGAAATAATCTGTCACAGACAACACCATTCCGATTGAATTATCTCAAAATCCCAAATTCTTCAGATTTTGGGGAGGAAAGTTGGGGGAGAGACCTATGGGGCTTAATGCCATCATGACCTGATTTAATATAATTCCTGTGCCCCTTTCTTGAGAAGAAAAAATGTATTTGCCTTGAATTCTGTCCAAAAGCCCATTTATATCTAGTTTTTAAAAAACTAAAAGGATCAAGAAACAGAAAAAAACAATTCTGTTTTACAAGGTATAATGGATGTAGGTGAAAGAGTTCAATTCAGCTTAAACTAAGCAAGAACCACTTTGGATTTTAATGTTAAAAGTCCTAGGTATGGTTTACTTCATATTTAAAGGAGGTTTATGATTGTTATTTTCACATGCTAAATTATTTCAGTTTAACCTTTTGAAGCATTTTTTTTATCCTGGCAATTTCAGTTTTCAAGGAAAAAGCAATTTGACAATTTAGCTCAGGAAAAGTATCAATAGAAAGAAAATATTTTTTATTTTGCTTTTTACTTTAATATCCACTTAGGGAAGATTATGATTAAATCAAAGGTTTGGGAGCTATTTTATAGTTTTTATTTATCCAAAAATAATTTGGAAAGTTTTGTTATAACAGCCCTCTACAGGGATTTTTCAATAACCTGGTTTTGTCTACCTTGTCTCGAATTATTTTAGAAAGCATCCTGGTGTCAATCCCATAAAGAGCTGGTATCTGAGGAAAAAAAGCAAATGCTAGCATATTAAAAATTAAAAATAGAAACTTCTGTAATTCCATCTGATTATGGAAATTAATTCATTTATTATAAATATAATATAAATATAACACAAATAAAATTTCTACATATCATACTAAACTACCCAATCAGTGCTATATCTTGAATATTTTAAGCCCATTAATATTCAGTGAAAGCTGCTATCAAAAATGGACTTTCATTTTCAGTCATGGTAAAGAAACAACCCATCAACTTAGAAATATTTAGGATATGAACCCGCATGATGACTAATACATCAACAATGTCATAAAAACTAGACTTGAAACTGGCACAGATTTATCTCAATCCTCTATAGTTTTACTTTCATCTACTGTACAAACCAGTCAAAATAACATAACATCAACATGATCAGAAACACAAGAGAAGCTAGGTAGGTTTTTGACCTGCCAGTATTGCTGTTAAAAGAATCCTGGGAAATATATTTCTTAGGGAAGGTAGGGTTTAAAGCAGGGGTGTCAAACTGCAGGCTCACGGACCAGATGCATCATAGCAAAACCGCACCCACCCCATTGCCGACAATGGCAAAAAAGTCGCAATACATCACGACACATCACGTGACGTTGCGAGTTTGACACCCCTAGTTTAAAGAGAAGTATATTTTATAAAATTAAGTTTAACTGATAACACATAATTTCCATAATTTCTCTCAAAGATTCTGGACTCAGAACCAGGAAAGATGTTGTAATGTCAAGCTATTTTCTTCCCCACTACTGTAGAGAGAAAGAGAAGGATAAAAACTCTGCAAAAGTCTGCTAAAG